CAGTCAGGTTTCAGGCCCCACCATAACACAGAAACTGCACTTGTTAAAATTACCAAGGCTGCATGTCATTGCTAGTTTTCCTTGATCTTAGTGCTGCATTCGACACCATAAATCATGACATAGTCATAGACCGATTACAAAACTATGGGTATTCAAGGGCAGGCTTTAAGATGGTCTAGATCCTACCTGCCCGATCGTTACCACTTTGTTTATTTAAACGGGGACTCATCTCAATTATCACCAGTAAAGTAAGGAGTGCAACAGTCAAAAATCTGGGTGTTATATTAGATAGCAACTTGTCTTTTGAAAATCATATTTCCCATGTTACAAAAACAGCATTCTTCCATCTTAGAAACATTGCCAAGCTAAGAAACATGTTTCCAGTTTCTGATGCAGAAAAGCTAGTTCATGCATTCATGACCTAGACTGGACTATTGTAATGCACTGCTAGGTGGTTGTCCTGCATCCTCAAACAAGCTGCAGGTCGTCCAAAATGCAGTGGCTAGAGTCCTTACCAGGTTAAGAAAATTTGATCATATTACCCCAATTTTACAGTCTCTGCACTGGCTACCTATTAAGTTCCGTATCAGTTACAAAATATTATTACTTACCTATAAGGCCCTTAATGGGTTAGCTGCCAACCCTGAAACAACATACAGAACTACCACATTTTGCAATAAGTTTGATTGCATCATATAATAGTTGCTGTTAATAGTGTTCGTCTGTTTGATTATGTCTTTAATTGATTTTTCCGTACATTTCTGCAATATGTACATTTACTGACAGTCACCACTGATAAGCTACTACTAAATATATTGTAGAAACTTAATTTTCTGTAAAGTTGCTTTGTAACGATTTGTATCATGAAAAGAGCTATACAAAAAACTTGAATTGAAAAAAAAACTTGAATTTAAATCTTTGTCTTTGCATGTTAAAAGCAGTTTCTGCTGCAAGAGCACTGCATTCAAAGATGAAAAGGAGAGAGAGAGGAAGGAAAAAACCCCCGCTGTGTGTCGTCCTCCTGTCCGCCTTGTTATCATTAGCATGCAGGAGTTCTGAAGCATTAAGTGTTAATTAAAGCAAAAATCTCCACAGGTATAATTCTGCGAGTTAGCAGGTTCCTGAAAACTTGGACGTGAAGAAAAGTGCTGAATTTTGCCTGTTATAGATAACACAGTGCTTAGTGATGCTAATGGCTGAGGGTTTATTGAAGGAGAGAGAAGACGAAGGGATGCTGGAGAAGAGGAATAGGTCACAAGGTTCATGTCACTTCCTGTCTTGTCTTTAAGGCTCACTGTCACATTGTATAAAACGCCAAGTCTCTTGACCGACAAGCAATGAATGCTCAATGAAGAGAGAGAGAGAGAATGTCTCCAAAAGAGCGAGAAACGAGAGACAGAAATGTAGATGAGAGAGGCAGAAAGAAAGAAAGAAAGAAAGAAAGAGACAGACAGACAGACAAGGCAGGACTATTTCATCACTCCATTCCTGCCAGTAAACAAATGCATGAAAGTAGGGAGAGAGTGTAATGCAATCATAAGCAAGCTAATTTGCTTTGAACCAGCAGGGAAAAAGCCATTTACGTTTCATGGATGAATGGACACACAAAAGGCAGAGTGTAAAAGAGCTATGATTCTCCGTCGAGCTGAAGTAGAGCAATGATGCACATCTAAAAGTGCTGGATTTAGTCAGTTATAGAAAAGAGAAAATGCAATGTAATATTAAAACAGTTTATTGTAAAGGTCTAATACCAATTAAAAACTAAATCTAAAATCTGAAATCTAAACTACAATTAAGTTTGTTGCCAAATCAATTGACAATATAAATCTAAAACTATTTAAAACACAGCATTTCTTACAGCTGACGTAAGATTTAATAATCTGAAACTAATCAAACCCAGTGTAGTTGTAGAATGTAATTCCAATCACTTACCTTTCTCCCATGAGCCTCTGCCACAATCCCATGAGGAGTAGACATCACTTTGGTCTGAAACACACAAGGTGACAGGTTTAATGTGATTGACAGATTATGACAAAAGCAGTGCAGTGATACAGACAGACAGACTCCGAATACAGTTCTGTCGTAATAATTTCCCAACTACCCTAACAACCTTCATCTGGTCATAAAAAGGTGAAATTATCTGTCATGAGGGTCTGCAGCAGTCCTCTCTATGATATCTTTTGCAGTTTTTTTAATGTGTTTTATACTTCTGCATGTTGGTCACACCACATGACTTTGATCTTCCAGATACAAATGTTTTTAAAATATTAAGCAGCAGCGAAGCTTTTGCTAAAAGTATAGATTTTTCTAAGAAAAAATAATTAATCTACTTAAAATTTTATTCTTTTAATTACTCGCATACAGAAATGTTAATATATCACATATACAGTATCATCCTATATCAAGAGTTATATTGCCACATATGTTATCTTTAAAGAGATAGTTCACACAAAAATATAATTTAAGACCATATTCATATTCTGTAACGAGTGAGCCGGAACGAAATGGAGTTAGAATCCAAATGCAAGCACAAGTAAGCTTATTTGAAAAAACACAAATAGATATATAATCCAATCCTGGAACAAGAATATAACCCACACGAATAAATCACGAGCAATCCACACAAGCCATGAGAGAAACAACTTGGAACACACATACAGGAGCAACGACCAACCAAAACAACTGAAACACAGGGGTTTATTTAATCACTGTGTGTATGAATTGCAGTTGCCTGCATTTTTGAATAAATTATTAGATTATCACATCACTGACCCATTAATCCGGCACTTTCAGTTTACTTTTATTATTTCATTTAGAGTACATCACTAACTTACAGAAATATAACATTCTTTTGTTAAGCTGCAGTGCAGATTCAATCAGCAGGAATTATGGGACATGGGACAATAATTTAAGGTAAAGGCAGCTTTGCTTTGTTTTTGCAATTGAACAAATATTCTAATCACACGGGCTGGGAATCATTTTTTCTTTACTTCCAAAAGAATCACCGTGGCAAAACCTCTGTGATTAGGGATACTAGCATGGCTCTCTTTTGTGCCTGCAGCCATAAGCCTCGTATGGTTACGACTAATACAGGTGCATGCTGAGAAATCCATTTGCATTCCATTCCATTACATACACACCACTGCCCCATAACAGAGATCCAATTAGCGTGGATAATACATATACCCTGGCTGTATGCATATAATAGTACTTAAAAGTCATATCACCTTTAATGTGAACTCTCTGTAGTCCCAAAGAGTGTATGAGAGAGATACAATGACGAATAGAAACATGATCGAACTAAAAAAGTCCCTTAAAGAAAAGTTGTTCTGTGCTGATAAAATTACTATGAGAGCATGATAGACTGAGAGACACACTGATGGACAGACAAAAGACACGAAAAAACAGTTCAAACGACAAACAGATTAAATGAAGTGTTAAAGGATTTGTTTACCCAAAAGCATAATTTTTCTCAGTCATTATTTACTCACCATCATGTCTATTCAAGCTCATATACTTTTATGTCTTTCTCTATACAACAGTTCATATGGATCAAAAAGGATCAAAAGCAGCTAAGAATAAAAAGTAGTCAATATGATTGATGCTCTTTGTGGAAGATGTTCGGTAACATTTCAGTGCATTATTGTCTCTTCCACACACAAATCTGTCATACGGCTTTAGATGGTATACATTCAGATTTGAAATATTGGGCAAAAGTCATATGGACTACTTTCCACCTTCAAGGTGTTTTTTTCATCCATTTTGGAGATTGACTGACATGGGCAGTATGAACTTGTAAGCAATATGACAATTCTTTAAGAATTCTTATTGTGGTCCATAGAAAAAATAACATTCTTTAGAAGCATATTGAGGTGAATACAATTTGCCAGAATTTTCATATTTGGGTGAACACACCGATTGTGAAATGTGACTGCCTGACTGACCTGTGCCAGAGAAGTAGAGCATGATCGAGAGCTCTCTGCGCTGGGTCTGTCCGCTGGCCGTGTGCCCTGGTTGGATGTGCATTTGTAGCAGCTCCATGAGTACTGCCTCTCGCTCAAAACACCCACCTCTTTACGCTGAAGACACTGGCAGTGGTACAGGTGTCCACAGCTACACATAAAACAAGAGTTCAGAATGACGCTAATTGTGGTCTGTTTGTGTAGTACGTTTAGGCAGAGTGCTACAACAGCTTGTTTAAGTAACAAATATGTGACTCAAAAATAAGGGATCAGAAAAAAAAAATCACCACAAATGTCTTGATTTTTTTTAATGGCTGGATGCCAATACTGACAGAGGGCGACCAATGGCAAATATAACATTAATATTTCTAATAGAGGCATCACAATAATTATGATATTTCTGAAATTAAATATTGATATCACGTTAAAGCTGCAGTCCGTAAGTTTTGCCTTTGTCGCCATCTCTGTTTGAAAACCTGGAATTGCAGCTGTGTGTGGAATTATCTAGCTTGCATGGGTTGTGAGTCGGGACGGCTCCTGCGCGGATGAATCTAATGTTCTGAAGAGTATGTGTGGCAGTCAGTCACCGCACCGGTGTGGATATTTACTGTACTTCGCAATTACAGATTATAGCCTACTTCTTGGAATATGACCCAAATAAGAATTTTCACCGTATATTGCCATCTGAACAAGTAAGTAACAAGTCTGCCACGTTTGTTCTGACCAACTGAGGAAAAAAGCATTACCATAAATCTTGCTACCAATGGTGATTAAATCTAAAGATCGGTTAGCTCATATCACATCAAACCGTTCAAATTATTATTATTGTTATCCTTTATTCTCAAATGATTCATGTTAACAACATCCGCATTGGTGACTATGAGTATAGTGTGTATTAGCGTCTAGATTTCAATTTCTGCACACAGTCTAATCTAACTGTCATACTCTTCGAATTTCATATTAAGAAATTCTTTTAACCCAAAACGCAAATCATGCTCCCTTCGAACGGGTTTTCTTTAAAATACAAATCTTTGTAATCCCAGGCTATCTGTAATCAGAAGCACATTTATAACTGGAATATAATTTAATTTCATTCAGATGTGTTTCATAAACACATAATCCTTTATGGATTACAATCCGCCATCAAAATGATAAATTTAATTATTCTGGCTGCTGTGAGAAAAGGCTATAAACGATCCGCCACCTGCAGGATCCTCACATGCGATAGCCTAGTAGCCGAGACAACTTCTTTATGTTTACAGACGTGATGTAATGACGCAGTGTCATGCTCGAATTTTCCGCGAAAACCTACCCGTACCACTCAAATTAGAAAACATTATTATAAGCTAAACGTTGTGAATCGGGCTAAAGTAAGGCGATAGTTTTGAACACTGATTATGTACTTGCTCAAATATTGATTTCAGATCATTTTTAACCAAAAAAGTTAAGCACTGCAGCTTTAATATTACATATACGATAATACTGTAAATAATCCAGCACCAATAATTATGTGGTTGGTTGTATTGCACCTTAACACTAGTAGGCATTTGTCACAAACTGGAAAAAAGTAGAAGATACAGTGTGTAGCTACTATTGTCACACAAACTCACATTGGAGGAGATGACAGGTAAAAATCAGACATTCTACCTGCAGCTGAAAAAATTCAGCTCGCCAAGGCAGAGTGTTAGAAACCCCAGTCTGCAGGAAGTGTCGATCAACAGTAAAGTTCTTTTTGTACAGTTACGGTTACAAAATCTCTCCACTTTTCTACATTTGTAAGTTACAAAAAAAGGAGAAAACAAAAAATAAAAGTTAAACATGAAATTGACTGATAGCATTAATTGTTTATTTATTTATTTAGAATTTGTATAGATATTGCAATGATATAGCTATCATAAATTATTTTGGCCATGATAAAAGTGTAGTAAAAATGTAGATTGTGACAGCTCCAAATTATAACAGTAAATATATTTTTTATTAACAACATGCATTCAAAATTACAAAAAAAAAAAAGAATGTGAAATGCATCAGTTTTGTTTGTTATAGCAAAAGGCATTGGACTGTGTTCCTGCAGTGTACAGATGATAATGTATATGTGACCTTGGACCACAAAACCAGTCATAAGGGTACATTTTTCGAAATTGAGATTTATACAACATCTGAAAGCTGAATAGATAAGCTTTACATTGATGTATGGTTTGTTAGGATAGGACAATATTTGGCCAAGATACAACTATTTGAAAATCTGGAATCTGAGGGTGCAAAAAAATCTAAATACTGAGAAAATTGCCTTTAAAGCTGTCCAAATAAAGGTAACAGCAATGTATATTACTAATCTAACTAAGACGTTTTGATATATTTATGGTAGGAAATTTACAAAATATCTTCATGGAACATGATCTTTATTTAATATCCTAATGATTTTTGGCATAAAAGAAAAATCGATAATTTTGACCCATACAGTGTATTTTTTGTCATTGCTACAAATATTCCCATGGTACTTAAGACTGGTTTTGTGGTCCAGGGTCACATATGTGTGTGTACCTAAAGATAATGATCTCCTCCTCGCTCTCCTGGCGTCTCTTGTACTGCTGTAAGCAGATGTTGCAGTGGTCCTGTCTGGGGTGAAGCCCTCTACTGACCGCCTTACGCAGGTGTGACAGAGACCAGTGAAGATCTGAGTTCAACAGATTTGTGGTGGTCTCCAACAATGTCTGAGAGAAAGAAGTAAAATGAACCATTGCAAAGCTTAAAAAAATTTAATTAAAAAAATCATTATCAGAGGTCAGCACACTTGCTCCAGACTGAACGATTCTGCTCATTCAGATGAAGTCTAGGCTGTGATGTGTCCTGATTCAACACACCCCCCCCCTTCTCTTCCCAAAAACCTCCTGCCACACGTCTGTACTGTAAGAGGCAAAAACGTGTGCTGATGATGATCCTTTTTGATGTGTTAAAGTTTTGGTTGCATGGACAAAATTAATGAAAGACTATTAAAAATATGTTCATTAAAAATGTCTAATACTTAATGCATTTAGCATATCTAAACACATTTTCAGATTTTCCCCTAAAACCAGCACAGAAAATGCTATTACAAGCTATCATATTTAATCTGATCTTAAAGTTGATTACAACTTCTGAACAACATACAGGAAATGATGAAGAGCTACAATTTCTAACAATATACAACTTTCCTATGTTTTAAAATAAAATCTTTAAGCTAAAAATTTTTTTTTCAAATTGTGTCAACTATCCTATTTCAGTTTAATTTATAAGGGAACACACTTATTCATCCGTAACCACAGGCAATGGAAGAAATTCCCCATAACGAATGAAAATATCGGACTAAAACCAATGAGACATGTGAAACGACTCAGAATCTAAAGGGAAGCAAATGCCATTTCAAGTCACTTAAATGTTTCTTTTCTAACACAATCAAATCTCTTTTGAAAATTGTGAAATGGATTAACACTTGAGCTTGTGCCGACACTAAAATTGGCTCAGTTTATTTATTGAGCGGAAGAATTTCTGTTAATCTACACAGTCTCCTCACCAGAGGCAATGTGTTTCAGCAAGGTCATATAAAAAGACTGAAGATTGGGAGAGAGAGAGAGAGAGAGTCAAGAGTGGCTTGATGTATATTATTTCATTTTGCTGTTACTGCAGCATTTTTAGTATTACACACACACAAACACAGAAACACACAAGCCTGCAAACACACACACACGCACACACACACACACACACACACACGCATATTTAACCCCGACAGACATTTCTGAGGATTGAATGAAAACATGCATTTCAAAATATTTCATCAGCTATCGGGGCAATTCACAAATTGTGTGTGTTGAAATGTATGCCAGGACAAGCTTTCCTAAGGGATTGTTCAAGTGTTTGTAATTTACGTCTCAATTTTGTGGCTGCATGTTATTTACTGCAGTGATGCCAAGTGGAGAGTCTCAAGAGCAAGGGGAAAATTTGTGTGTGTGTGTGAGAGAGAGAGAGGGGGGTCAGGTGTTATTCTTGCCTTGCTCGCTATTTCCTTTGAATGACAAGCTGCAAATTCCCATTGGACATGGATGGGAGAGTGCAAACATACACTGACACACACTTACTTCCACAGACAAACTGAAAGACCGCATAACCATATTGATTGTTCAAACAGACAGACAGAGAAAGTGAAACAGAGATAAAACAGCAAAATCCTTTTACTTTTAGTAGCTTGATAGTAGCTCAGCAACAGGACATTCTCCAAAAGCATTTGATTTTTTAGTGAATCGGTTAGTTAAAAAAATTACTCTGGTTTTTAGAGAAGTCTATTTGTGACATTTCATGTTTATAATTATTATGCTTTAGAAATTATGTTTCATTCAGATGTTTTTGTATTAGTTGTTTAAATGTAAATGTAGGTGTTAAGGTTTGATGTTAATATCCTTCGAGTGAAATAAATACTGCTCTAATAAACTATGTAATCTAATAGGTAGACAGTTAAACAAAACTTTAATTGACCAATTTAGGCAGCTTTAGCTAAAGGGTAGCTTAACTGGAATTTAACTGCTTTGAATTATGAGTACTGTAGCTTAGCTTGGCAAGCTAATGTTTCCCCAACACTGCTAAATAGCAAATAAAACTCTTTCACAATAAATACATTTCCCCGATTAACTGAAAACCTTCCACTCTGGTAACAACAAGGACAATCTTTGAAAGTAAAAGAAGCTGTACATAACGAGGAAGGAAAAAAATAAGCTCAGCAGTACAATGTAAAACGCATAATGATCCTCAGTCCTGTATTTTAGTTACAGGCCTCTCTCATCTTTTTAAGTGGGAGAACTTGCACAATTGGTGGCTGACTAAATACTTTTTTGCCCCACTGTACATCGAAACTAAATGCACAAATACAAATTTTAAGCTAGTGATGATATATGACATCTCTAAAGATCTATTGGTAACACTTTAGTAGAGGGACCAATTCTCAGTATTTGCTTATTAGCATGCCTATTATTAACACATTGGTTGTTTATTAGCACATATAAAGCATATATTCTGTATTATTCTGTGACCATATTCTACATCCCTAATCCTACCCAACAACTAAACTTAACAACTACCTTACTAACTATTAAGCAGCAAATGAAAAGTGTATTGAGGCAAAAGTCGTAGTTAATGGTTTGTTAATAGCGAGAAAGGGACCTTAAAATAAAGTGTGACAGATCTATTAAACATCAATATTATGGAAAGAAAGCAAAGAAATGGATTTTAGCAGTTGAAAGCTTTTTATTAGGACTCAAATATCTCAAATGGGGAAAAGCAAGACACTTTCCATTGAGAAGACAAGGAGATTTTAAGGGGTTAATTAACTGCCTTTGTTTTTTTTTATTTTGTACTGTTCTCTGAGGTCCACTTATAATGTTATCAATATTTTTACATCAAAAAACAATTTAGAAGTAATAAACTATTATCTGTCAGGGTGCACACTGCACAGGTGTGCAAATGAATTTTTGACAGACAGACAGGACAGCCTATCGAAATGTTCGGAGCGAACATTTTGATTGGACGAACCTTTATTGGTCCTATGCCTTCCACGGATATAAATAAATTTAGACTACTTAACTTAGGCCCCATATACACAGAGATGCATTTAGCTATATACTTAAAAATTTTGTATCGTGGCGTTTCGTCCAGATGGATCCAGCGTTTTGGGAGCCTGAAACTGCTATTTTTTTAAACCGGTTCCCAGAGTGGATAAATCTGAAAACGACACCTTTGCGTCTTCGTATTTACAGCCAATCCATATATTTTGTGAAAAAATGTCATCACGCCACATCTCGCCCCAAGTCAGACACGGCTACGTCACGTAACAGCAACAAAAATAACAACGGCGGACTGCATGCTTGTGTTCATGCTGCAAAAGCTACTGAGCCTATTAGCTTTACTAACTTTACTAGCTTTTCTTGTTGTTGTGTTGGGTTTGTATACAGCGTGCAAGGTTTATGCTCATGCTCCAAGTCGTCTTCTCCATTTTTAGTGTATTTCTGTGGCAGAATTACAGCGCCACATACTGGTCTGGCATGTATACTACATCGTTTTGAGTCAGTTTCAGTGGTTTCGTGTGTATGCAGATATTTCTTGAGATGACGCTGTGTTTATGGAAGAACAAGGAAAAAAAGATCGGATAGGGAAAGCTCTGGCTTCGTGTTGATGAGCCCTTACTGATTGTTATCGGGATGTGAAGAGACTTTCAACCAGCATAATAAAACATTTTTTTTAACCAAATCACCTATCCCTGCCTTTAAGAAACAACATACATATTAATTAAACCAGAAATGTATTTTCTAGAGACTGAGAAACGACCTTTCATCTTCCTGTAACTGCAACTCCAACATCATGTCGACACTGGACATCAGCGTGAATCAATGAGTCCGTCAACAGTAATTCTGTTTCTGACGTACTTCACGTGCTTGTGCGAATTCCGGCAACAGGGCTAATGGATTTCAAAGGTTTCTAAAACTCTTATAATTAAAACTCTTAAAAGTCTGCAGTTCAATTCATACATGATTCAGCTTGATTCAGCATTTATTTTGTCAAATACGAATAGAAAAGGAATAAAAGGGAACACACTCAAGTCTGATGCAGATTTCTGGATGCAATTAGCCTACAGGTGACACTAAGGTGAAGAAAGCAACTCTACAAACTAACAAACAAAAATCTATAAAAGAAATTAGCATTGCAAAAAGACGTAAATAAGTGTCAGACCAGTTCAGTGGAATTTCAGACAACAAAGTCTCTTTATTCTTGTTTATTTTGTCTGGAATTTCAGAAAATAACAAGCAAAGCCTTTTTTAGTAAAGCCGAAACTAGGGAGGATTTTAATCCAGTTGCTACAACATAATAACTCTAAAACACAAATAAGAATAAATGCTTCAGAAGTCTTCAGACAACTTTAAAGAAAGTTCTGTGAGGGCTTGAGATGAGGGAAACTATTTATGGGAAAGTATTTAGTTGTTCATTAAGTAAAACTGTAGGGTGTATGTGTGCGTGCCACTGATAACCATTACGGGACCTAAGACGTCCAGAGAGCCTCTTCAATTATGCGCTTGTTAATTAATGAAGAAACAGCCATTAATGAGTTCTCATAACACTCCACCCTAAACTGACCTGATTAAAGCAGCTGTGAGGATAAGCTGGAGTAAGTTAAGTATGATAGCTAGTCTGAAGGGCGTCAATCCCTAAAAAGCTATTAAGAGGGAGTGAAAAGGTACAGTATGATGATTTTATGAATATTGCTGAAACATGTCCTAACAGGTCCCTACTCTCTTAATAGTTTGATGTAGAATAGTTATTTTATTATTATTCATACCCATATTTATAGTATAGATTATTGGTCAAATTAAAACTACTGGCATGTTGGAAATTAGCATGAAAAAGTCAATATTAGAAACTTAATCAGTAGGTAGTAGCTACACTTATTGTATTGTATCATCTTATTGTGCACTTATTTTTTCTGCCCATAATAAAATCAATAAATACCAACCAAAAATTTGCTAAATGTATACCAGCAACAGTTTGATCTCAGCAACAGATCTCTATTACCTTATAATTAATTCAAAAAATAAAAATATAAAATAACTCGAATGTGGAATGTTTACTTCTGATCACACTGCAAAAGTGTTCTTCATCCCTTTTTTAATTTATTTATTTTTTGTACTTTTTTTGTCTTGTTTTCCAGTGCAAATGTCTAAAGATTCTTAAATCAAAAATCAAGTTTCTTAAATTAAGAAGTGTTTTTTTTCTGAAAAGTGAGTTTATGATGAAAACAAGAACACATATTTGACAATGGAGCCAGAAAAATATCCTTAATGCAAAAAGAAAAGGTTTAACCAAACAAAGTTTTACCCCACATATTAATGTTTGGTTTAAGCATAAACTCACTTAATTTTTTTCCATTTTTCAGAAATCTTCACTTTGCATCTTGAGTAAATGTATCTTGATTTAAGGATGTTTAAATATTTGTCCTACAAAACAAGACAGAAATACTGAGGAAGATATAATTTTTTTTTTGCAGTGCATGCAACACTTAATGACACTACTTTCTGCTCTAATTTAAGGCCTTAATTTTAAGACAAGCAGAATGTCTTGGTTACGTATGGTAACCCTCGTTCCCTGAAGGAGGGAACGGAGATGTCACGTCGGATGACCGACGAAATTGGGATCTCGCTTAGAGGGACCAATCTACTTCGAGTGTAAACTAAACGAGCCAATGCACATTGGCATGCGATTATTGCATCCAGCTGCTGCTGATCACAGCGTGAGTATAAGTAGGCAGCAGATGCAGATGACCGACGAAATTGGGATCCTACCAAAGGGCCACAGCTACTGCCCCTTCCAGTGTCCTGTGGAAGCCACCTGCGCCCCTACTTTTTGGTGTAGGCCAGGGCTTCTTCACAAGAGGACCAGCTACTGCTGCTATGGCACTACCCAATGAGTAAGACTGGATAACACTGGGAAAACGTACCCGTTCTACTTGGAACAGGGGCGTTACGGATGCTCGAACCTTCCCGAAGGAGGTTTCGGTAGCAATACACATATGGGCATCCCTTAGGTGCATATGGAAGAATGGAGGTGATTGAACCCTCTTGGAATGGCAGAAGTCTGCCGGGGAAACACGGGCTCAAGGCTATACCGTGGA